TCCAGAGACAACGCCAAGAACTCCTTGTATCTTCAAATGAACAGCCTGAGAGCCGAGGACACGGCTGTGTATTACTGTGCGAGAGACACAGTGAGGGGAAATCAATGTGAGCCCAGACGCAAACCTCCCTGCACGGATGCTGGAGGAAATAAGCTGCAGGGGGCGCTCAGGGGTCACTGATTAGCACCAGCCCCAGAGGCAGGTGCACACTGAGGCTGATTTCCTGTCAGGATGTCGGACTTCATCTTTTTACCGTTTCTCTAGGGAATCTCTTTAAGTTCAGAATTCTGTGCTTACCAGTGTCATCTCTACATATTTTTAAATGATTATTTTAATATGAGAACCTATTCCCATACGCACAAAATGCAGATTGATGCTTACAGAGATGAAAAGTCCTCAACCATGGTCACCAGGATCAGAATCCTGAGGAATCTCAGGGGTGCCTGGTGAGTCTTCTCCAATCAGACTCAGGACAGAAACCTCTCTGACTAAAACAGTCTTTAGGAATTTTGATCACAGCCAATAGAGAGTCTAGATCATGGTCAGTGTCATGTAGAACCTCACAGGTTTCACGTCTGACCCTTTTCCTGACGCTAAAGTATGCAAATCAGTATCAGCACTGCTCTGGAGCCCCTTTTGCTCTTAGTCCATTCTATTTCTTTTTATTTGTTGTTGTTGTTCTTGCTTTTCCTTGTACTGTTCCTGCTGCCTATAAAGTGGGGATGTAGTTCATGCTGTCAAAGCTGAAGGCCTCAAGTCCATTCCCTGCAGCTCAGGTGTGGCTCAGGCTGTGGCTCCTGCGTCCACGTGGGAGAGGCTGATGGGACTTTCTTCTCTCCCATTGCTCAGCACCCTGCAGTGTGTTGTGTGGAGACTCACCTGGGAATGCAAGTGGCCAAGAGTAGTGAAGGGGATGAGCTTGTGTGGACAAAATGGGACGTGGATGTGAAATTTATCCTGTCCTGTGCAAACTACCACAGAGTCACCTTCCTCACCAGTAGTATTAGAAAGAGTGTGTGAAAGTTTTCAAAATAAAAATGGAGCCACTCGTGTTAACGCCCTGAAAAATGGAACTAGGAATGATCATGAAGGAAGTTTCTCATACACATACTCCTGATAACAAGAACTACCACAAATGGATTCTGCTTAATCACAACCTTGGATAGAAGTCACTACAACCTTACAAAAAATCACGACTACAAGGACATCTTCCCAGCAGATCACTGTTTAACCCTATACTGATGACAACCTTGGTATTGATTTTACAAGCACGGGAAAATCCTCTCAAAACAACTTATGTAACTCACCTCATTTTCACTTCAGAAACCTGTGGATTGACATCCTAGTCACGGCTGCATTTGTTTTTAATGGTAATTAGCCCCTTTACAATATATGAGGCTGTTTTTCTCTGATGTCTCTGCTAAAACAAAGAATTTCCAAGTTGACAGCAGTAAAGAAGCTGTTTAGGAAGATGTGATGGGAAGGCATTTTTAACATCCTGTTGAATGTTTCCACATACCACGTTAATCCCCTGTAATACTTTGCTGTATCAGCCTGTGATGAATCAGAGTATAATATTGAAGGTAAAATGGAAAACACATGGGCTTGTGATGAATTAAGTCATAGGGTGATAATGTGTGTGTCCTTGAGGAAGGAGACCATGGGTTGTAAGTTCTAGTGGGGGTACCTTTGGCAAAGGGAGTTCCTGAGTTTCTGAACATTATGCTACTTATAATTTAAGGTTGCAATTTATGATTTATTTTTACTTAAATCTTTCCAGAAGATATTTGTCAGTAAGGACAGGGTCACAATTGTGTAATAGTGATGACTTAGAGAGTTACTTTGCAATTGTTCCTGTAAGGTATGCACATTGCTCACTTGATACAGAAGTTCAAATGTCACAGGTGGCAAACCAGGAATAAAGCAAATTTTCTGAACTGTCATGGGTGTAGTTTTTGGCAAGGAAGTGTTTCATGTCAATCTGAAAATAAACAGACAACAATAAATCATGTTCAAGTCCACGGGGAGTCTGACCTCTGTCCCTCTCTCTTATAAGTACAAGGCTTTGCCACATCCAAAGTATTCTTTAGGCTCCAGGGTATGAAATGCTTTTGGACTGTGGAAGCTAACAGCTCTCCCCTCAAGCAGGGCTGAGGTACCTGGGGAATGCAGAGTTGTGTTCATGAAGAAGATGGAATTATTGTATCTTCTCCTGTGCCTAGTGACAGCTCCCCAGCGTGAGTGTCTCAGATGTCAGACATGGGTCTATGTGGTGAGTGCAGGTACATGTGACTGACAGGGATGGATTCTCCATGTACTCACATGCCCTGTCCCAGGAGCAGCTGCAGGAGTCAGCCCTGGACATGAAGACCTCACATTGATGCTCAGCCTCACCTGCACTCTTTCTGGCCACTCCATCACAACCAGTCCTTACTACTGGACCTGGATCTGCTAGTTCTCAGGGAGGGGCTGCAATAGATAAAATACATTGCTAGTGGTGGTGGGAATCCATCTGTCTTGTGGAAAATGGCAGCATTTCCTTATTTTATAAGGCATAATAATGTTACATTGTGTACAAATACCACATTGTCTTTATCCATTTGTCCATCGACGGACACTTAGTTTTCATATCTTGGCTGTTGAGAATAGCACTGCAATAAGCATAGGAGAGCAGGTATCTTCACAAGGTGGTAATTTCATCTCCTTTGGGTATATTTCCATAAGCTGGATCACTGGTCATACGGTATTTTTGTTTTAATTTATTTAGAAGCCACCACATCGTTTTGCATAATGGTAATGGTGAGAATATAGAATGTCATAACCACTATGAAGAGCAGTTTTAGATTTGATGTATAATCCAAAAACAGATAATGTTTTATCATGGCTCTTCATATGAGGCTCTAATAAAGCTAGGGGAAGTCTAGAAAGTTTTCCCACCTTGGCCAAACATGAGTTTTCCCCTAATTATCTTTGAGTCAGAATATTTGCAGAATGTGAGAGGGAGTCTTTTGGCAGGATTCAGGATGATTCATTAATAAATAGTAATGACAGAGAAAAATAGAGATAGAGACATGCAGAGAAAGAAAGAAAGAAAGACAGAAAGAGAATATGAATCTCATAAGAGGAGAATCTGCTGGATATCAGTGTTGGGTTTTCAGTCATAGACACATCTGTATGAGGGAGGAACCATGCAGTCAAGTGAGGAGTGGAGAACATGTTCAGTCCAAAAATCAGTGTATTCTCAGAGGCACCCATTGCCTCATCACATAGGTGGAGAATTTTGGAAACCAGTGAAGTGTGAGTTCACAATAAGTGATGAAGCTCTCATGTTTCCATAAACTTTCATTAATAGGGAAAGTACTTCTATAGATCACTCATGCACAAATATATAAGATGTGTTTTAGCTTTTACGGATGTCTAGAGAAAAATAAGTGAGAAAATTTTCCAGATTACAGAGATCTACTTAAGTTGAAGATCCCATAGGAGAGTGTCTTTGAGTGAATACTGGTCTATTAACTAAATAGGTCAAAATTCCCTCTGTTGGAGTAGCCTTCCAATTATGTAGATTTCTTTATTCCTTCTTGAGTTGTGAAACATAAACCCAAGGATTGACTTACTGGAATTTGACTGCTGCATTGATAAAATTTCTGAAAAGGTTTCTTCCAATGATTTGAGAATTACTTTCCTGTTTTTCACTCCGGGAAATGAATTTTCACAAGGTTTCAGAACATCATGTTTCAGGTACTTTACTTAAACAGACTCTTCTTGGGGGCAGTCAGCTTTCTTCTAACCATGAGCTTATTTCTTCTGCAAACCATGCAGTTTGTGCCTCTCGTAAGAATTATGAAACTTTTAAACTTCAATGCACTGAAAATCGTGCCCCTTGAATTAAATGTTGATTGGCACTGACATGAAGTGGCCACTCTTGTATAAGTGTCCTATGTTATGGGCTCAACGTATCAGTGGACTGAGAATCCTCCATTGGATGCCTCTGATTGTGGCACTGAGCAGATTGACAATCTTCAGAGTCATCCATGAAAAAGAGAGTCCTGAGGTTCGTGGGGTTCTTGGATATATTCAGGTGAGTGGAGGGGAGAAACAGGATTGGGGGCTGCCAGCCATTTCAATAACAGTGGGAATTATTAGCATCTAAGTTTAAAGGTCTACATCATTCCAAACACCCTGCATGACAGGCCGACGGGAAGAAATCCAACCCCACAGCGGCTCCATAGCAACTCTTTAGCATAGTTGGTAGTGAGGCTGTTTCAGGGAAGAAATGTCCACTCAAGTGAATCAATGATGCTTCTCTGAGCTACAAGAAACAGTGTATTGGGCCCAGGTTTCTCTGAGTTCAGTGTGATGATTACACTCAGCTGCTGCTCCAGTGAGTTTAAATGGGTATGTGGCAATTCAGATACACCTGGCTGTGGGGTTTATTAGATGTAAATCTGAGCTACATAAACAAAGAGGGCATGTCTGACCGTATGAGGGTGCAAAATACTGGAGACCCCACACCCCACACTGTTGTGGTTTTTGCTCCAGTGACCTCCAGGTTTTTTGTATGAGAATTGTGATTATTTCATGGCTCAGTCATCAAGAGACATAAACTGTGAGAAATACACACAGAAACTGCTCCAGATAGAAGATCCAGGGGAAGGACCTTTCTAGCACCTTATCTATGTAAGGGAAGGCAGTCCATCTCCATTACAGACCCCTCACAGCAGGCTTCCTTTATCATGAAAATAGGTTAAATTAGCCAATAGGGTAAGAATCCTATAATGTTCCAGCCGGAAAAGGGAAAGCATCCGTTTGACCTCTGGAGACTGTGTATAGGACAACTTCCAGAGAAAGAAGAGCACTAAATTATTAAGATTCAATTGTAACTACATATGATACTTCCGGGATGCACAAATTAAAGATGAAGGTGTGGCAATGCACAGGCTCTATTAGAGAAGGAGAACAGGGAAACTGAAAGAGATTGGCAGGAAAGAGATTGAGAGGAAAGCTCTTCACCATGGACTGGACCTGGATGGTCTTCTGCTTCCTGGCAGTAGCTCCAGGTAAAGGATCAACTAGTTCCAGGGCTGAGGAGGGGATATTTTTTTCCAGTTTAGGGGACTGTCATTCTCTACTGTGTCCTCTCC